AGCAAACACATAGTCACCATTTGTCTGTACACATACAATATTATTTCTCTTTGTCTGAGTTTCCCTGTGTACTAACTTTCTCTGCGTTACCTTTGGTATGTTTCTTAGTCTTGCATACTACTGCAAAATGTCCTGTTAGATGACATTTGTTACAGTTTGCAGATCTTGCTGGGCGTTCCCTATCCCTGGCGAAATGTCCCTTATTACCACAACGATAACATTTCTTTTTCTCTCTCTCTCTTCCTGGCTTCTTTTGTGACCGTTGACCTTTATGGACTTGGTTGACTTCCCGTTTAAATTCACCTTCCATAGTCTTTAATTGAACATCAACTACTTCTAAGGCCCGTGCTGTGTCTTGCACCACTTTTAGGGTTAGGGATTTTCCATTTTCTAGGAGCTTACGGCGTAACAATGACGACTTGCATTTATCTATAACTTGATCTCTGATTTGTTCATCAGTATCTGTAAACTCACAATTTTGTGCTTGGCGTTGCAGTCTTGAAATAAACTGATCTATAGTTCCACCCTCCTCTTGTTTCATTTGACGAAACACATGTCTCTCATATATTGCATTTAGCTGAGGTATGAAATACGCGTTCAATGTTCGTAACGCTTTCTCGTAATTACCTGCATCGTCTTGTTGTCCTTCAGGCAAGTTTCCAGGTCCGGGATCAACAAGTGTCTCAAATAAGTCCTGTACGTCCATGCCAGCACAGTGTAACAGCAAGGCTCAGTCCCAGGGTATTTGCTGTCTTTTTTTGTACACACTCTTCTTTATTCGAATTGACATTGTATTCATATGCATGCATCAATGCTTAATAATCAGTTACATTATAACCTACCGCGATGACGTCATACAATGCACTGGTAGTAATCTATAATATTTTCTTGATTCAACTCGAGAAATACGAGTAACGTAAGAGCTGTACCACTACGCGTCGAAGACACCAGCTGAACGAAAAAAAATATTAGGGAATAATGACATCACAGCTACAGATTATCCGAATTTTAATGTGACGTACAAAGAAAACTA